CCGTTTGAGTTTTTTCATTTTTCAACATAAAAAAAACGTCGGAAAAAATTGAGGACCACATTTTCTTAATTAGCTTAGACCCCTCTCTCGAATGATGTACAGTAAGTTTAAAAAACAATTTCATTCGTTGTTGAAGAGTGTTCCTTCCTTGACATGCGAAACCAGTAAAAATGCGGCTTCTTTAAAAAGAGTGACTTTTAGCCATGCACGGGCATAAAAATAAAATTTGTTGGACTATGGGTAATCGACCATGCTGAGTCTCGTGGCAATATTGATTTTTAGAAAAAAATTAAAAATCTAGCGAAAAGCGAGTTTTACAAAAATTAGGGTTTTCAGGTTGTTTTCACCTAATATTAGAAAATTCATTATTCGCTCAAAATACATCAGAACAAGCTCAAAATCTCAGGATATGATTAATGTTGTCTGCTAAACGTGGTTATAAGATCGAAAAGATCGAAAAAGCATATTTCTGTTAATGGATTTTCAGAAGCCCTTCTGGAAAACCTTAGGATTTTGTAACATTTCTTTCTAGATGTACTATAAATAGGATGTAGAAGAGCCTAAATACTCTACATTCTGAAGTTTTGTGCTTGTTCTGATATATTTTGAGCGAATAATGAATTTTCTAATATTAGGTGAAAACAACCTGAACACCCTAATTTTTGTAAAACTCGCTTTTCGCTAGATTTTTAATTTTTTTCTAAAAATCAATATTGCCACGAGACTCAGCATGGTCGATTATTCATAGTCCATCCGTCTTTAAGGCTACCAATAGTCACTGGGTGTCAGTCCTGGGACTCTTAGGAAATCCGATACAACGCCCGAACCGAGGAAAATCAAGGTCTCACCTGGCTTCCATTTTCAAGAGAACATCCTGGGCTATCAGCTCATGATAAAAATCAATACAATCCTATTGAAAAATTCTTACACACGATCTGGTTTTTCAAAGATTTCCTGGGAAGCCTGTTTCAGAAAACTCTTCTGAAAATAATTTTGCTTGTGAAAACATGCCCAAGTCTCCTCTTTAGTATGGCGAAAACCGGAGCTCTGAACAAAATATTTTCATTTTTTCCGAGAAGAGGGCCTAAATAGACCCTGATTGGTAGTACAAGGGTTAAGTACCATGAAATAATTCAAATCTTTCTTCATCTAATGGTGGACGAACATAACGTTTATTTCCGGGTGGTAAAATTGAATCGTTTAATTCTTTTGGTGAATATAATTTGCGTAATGTTAATCGCCCAAAATCATAAATGTCACGTCCACGTGTTAATAACAGATCTTCACCTTTAAATAGCTAGATAAAGAGCAGGAAAAAGCCAAAAATAAGAGAAAAATAGGTTTCCAGCGATACTCACAACTTCTGTTGGGAATGTTTCTCCTTTTTCACGATGCTGTTCAAGATCTAAATCCACCTAAGATCCCAAAAGTGAGAAGAGTGTTAAAACATTTAAAAAAGCGACGAAAGCAGGTACTTACTAAACTAGGAGCAAGACGATCGATTTTCTTGCTAAAAATAGCCAGATTTTTGGTTACACTGTACATTATTTCTTGATGCATGAAATCCATTTGTTTGTAAAACACACTTGCTGTTAACCAGACAGGAAAATGAATTAAGCTAACGTGAAAAATGTTGCGAACCTATATACGAGACCAAAAGGCAAAAATACGTACGATCAAACGAACGATCTTTTCCAGAACGAGCTGTATTCTCTAAAAAAACAGAAACCCAACTTGAAATTAAGCTGGCCAATAGATAAAGAACGCACCATTCTCAACATCATTATTGTCGAGCAGAGGAGGTCGTTCTATAAAAAAAAGCAAGTGCTTTGTAGAATGCAGTTAGACTGGTAATGAAGCTACTTACTTGTAACATTTCTTGAAGATGCTTGTGCCGATGGTAATTGAGTTGCTTCGTCTGGGTAGTCTTAAAGAAAAGCATATTTTCCTTCAGAAATAGAAAACTCAAGCACTTAAACTTTCACGGACAAAGCTAAGCCATATTTGAACCTAAGAACCTCCCGTGATAGCAGAGGTACTATTCGTAAAAAAACAGTGCACTTGGCCACTTTTTGAATAACTTTTGATACAAGCTAGATAGAGACTTGCTGCCTGTAGTTTTGAAAATTAGACACCTGACCACATATTTCTGTAAGCAAAAACAAGTTTTAAAAAAATTTCTGAAGTAGGTTTTCAAGAGGATCTTTGGAAAATCAGTTTAGATCTCTGTCCACTGTCCAAAACATCCATAGCTCCCGAACCATGGGTTTTCGAGATGTCGCTTAGATTTCCTTTTGTAGAAAACACCCCGGCCTATATATCTACCAAAAAAATCGATCTATTTCTATGTCAGTTTACAGAGATCTAAACTGGCTTTCCAATGATCCTCTGAAAAACCTACTTCAGAAATTTTTTGAAGCTTGTTTTTGCTTACAGAAATATGTGGTCAGGTGTCTAATTCTCAAAACTACAGGCTGCAGGTCTCTATCTAGCTTGGATCAAAAGTTATTCAAAAAGTGGCCAAGTGCACTGTTTTTTTACTGACAGTAGTTTAAAAGAGGGGCTACGGCAGAGGCCTGAAGTTTCTTTAAAAGCTTTTCTGAGTTGAGACACGACTAAATGGTTTTTTTTTCAGGCAGCTAGTAAAGCAAAGTAATCAACTTACTTTGTCGTGGATGATTTTCTATTTCGTCTTCATTATCTCTTTCTGATTCTACATCGGGATCATCCGAACTAATTTCCATACCTGTTTGTTCATCTAAAGCAGAAGACACATCACGTAACTAATGCTGCAGCGTAAGGGTCTGTAAATAAGTTACCTTCTACATGATGGTTGGTCTCATTGTCTTTTGCCATTTGCTCTAACAGGACATTACATTGACTGAATGATCCTAAACAAAAGTAAAAAGCTCACTAATAACTGGAATAACTGTAAAAAAAGGGCTTACCCTTTGCATGTATTACTGCTGTACGACGATTATGACCCGTACCAACAACAGCTTTATCCTCTTCTATTGATTTAATACTAGTTTTTTTTGCAACAATTAATTCTCCGTTATCATCAAATCGTAATAGATAATTTTCTGGAAGTGGAGCTGTTGGTTGAGTTGGAGTAAATCTGGCTGCTGTTATTCGATGACGTTGGGCGCGGTTCATGTTGAATAATTTATTGATTGCTGAATGAATGAATCAATGAATTCTGGAATGTAGATACTCTCCTGCTTCTTAATACGATAGTTACAAGTTAATGTGTTCTCTCTTCCTGCCAGTTTTTCGAGGAAAGAAACAAAAGCTAGACAACTTTTCTACTTCAATCGTGTTCATCATAAGCCGATATTTCGGTTATAATTAAGGACTCATTTACATCAAAAACAATACAATGTTTATAAATAAGAGAAACTGGAATACAATCAAAATTTGAACAGGGCTCACGATAAAGTACAGTAAAGCATGTATCTAACGGTGCTTTTAGTAAATGAAAGTAAGCAGAAGATTTAAAAAAAGTGCTAAAATTTTCTTTAACTTTAAAACGTTGAATAAGAGCAAAAGTTTGATTTTTACAAACAAAAAAAAGAGTGATTTTTCCAAAGAATTTTCTCTGACAAATTGATTGTGTATAACTGACAAAGAAACTGACAGATTTACCACGTTTATTATACAGCAAAGAATGAAAAATTTTACTGTTTACTTCACAACGACGATAGACAAAGACACATCTCGTAATATCATCACAATTACACAACTGTTCATGATGTTCAATTAGTGTTGAATTGTTTTTAAAATTAAAATTTTTGTCCATGTCAAGTGCTCCCAGTAACTTTTGTTGTGATAACGGGTGTGACTGTCTGTTATTTAAAGTAAAATCGATACTATAGTAATAAGTTATCAAATCACCGTGGTATCGTGTTCCATGTCTGTTCGAACTAATTTTGCCAATCAAATCTTCTTGAGCAAAACATCCTATATTTGCTAAAGAACCATAATTATCGTATTGTTTCTCGAAGTGTAGGTGAATGTGAAGAACGAAATTTTGTGTATGTTGATGATACTGCTCATGGTCTTTATAATAGTTTTCGAATAATTCATTAGCGATGGTTGATGTCTGTTTACCAAAACAAGGTGGTTGAGAATGATAAAGACGAACAGCACATACGAATAGTGCCATATGTGATAATACATGAATATTTTGAAGATCTAATAGTAAAGGCAATAAGCCATAAAATAAAATATTTCTAATTTCGGTTGCTTTTATGTAAGACAAATCATTTAACGGACGCATCCTTCTATTACAGAAGTGAGGAAAATGTTGATCTTTCAATCGTTTATCTAATAGAAGACGTTGATTCGGTTTTAGCAAACGATACAATGAAGAGATCATGGTTTTTGCATGACGCAACAACGTCACGTGCTGGTAGTCGATGATTATTCCTTCAGGCAACGATGAGTCAAGGATTTCATGAAGAACTGAAGTACCTGAATTCAAGAGAACAAGTTGTGTGTCGGTTCTGACAGTAAACATTCATCCCAAAATATAATACACCCGCTTGGTTTTGAATAACTCCAAAACAATAAAAGACAGAGGCATGCGGTTTTCAGCAATCGAGAGATGACAGTTTAAGCTATATTTTCACAAGCAAAATTGTCTTTCGAAACATTCCAAAGGTCGCTTTTCTTCAAGATCTTTGGAAAACCAGCTCAGATTTCTAGAAACCGACATGGTAATCTATCGTTCTTTTTTCCTACATAGATAGTCCGGAGTGTCCTCTACAAAATAAGATCTAATATGTAATGGGCTAGCTCGATTTATTGGAAAATGAAAAACCGTTTAGATTAAATAAGATCTAAGCAAAAGTTTGGTTTTGCTTGGTTTGCCTTTAGGCCTTAGCACTTCGCTGTCGTTAGGTTTAAACTGCCAGAAATGCATGAAAACATAGGTTGTCGACTATAGTAAACCTGGTGTCAACATTTGTTTTTCAAAAAAGCTTGAAGAATCTAGCGAAACGTATAGTAGGTGAAATATCCCACTTTTGTGTATTTTTGAGTAAAACCAAAAAATCATAACCCAGTCAGATCCAATTAAATTATGTCAGAATATCAAGATGTACTCTATTTTACCTTCTCCACACGATTTTTTACTTGAGAATAGTAAAAAACATTCTTGTACTTCGGGAGATTCTAGAAAATCTTTTCAAAAACCGAAGTATTTTCTGTTGA